GACACGGCCGAGGATCTTATTGCTGGCCTGAGACCTCCTCCCGGGTGGTCGGGTGAGTGGACCCCACCGTTCGAGGCTATGCGGATTACCCGCAGGACTGGAGGTGGCGGCGATGAGGCTCCGGTGTACGTAAGTACTAACCAGTTCATCTTGAGGTTCCGTTCACTGAACGTTCCCAGTTCCTGCCTGTACTATGGCAAAAGACTTCAACTGGTACCGTACATCTACAAAGTTAGGAGATGTGACTTTTGCCAGTGCTTTGGCCATACCAGGTTCGCGTGTAAACAATCTTCAGATGAGAACAAGCGCGTTTGCGAAAAGTGTGGTAAGAGTGGTCATCATAAATCCTCATGCACTGCGACTCAAGAAGAGTGCATTAATTGCATCCGGTCGAAGTCTAGGAGTTTTTCTCACCAGGCCTCCGCGATGGAGTGCCCTGCGTTTAAAAGACAACGAGAGATAAATAAAATAATGGCCTATCGAGACCTCTTTTTCAGAGAGGCGGCGGGGCTGTATGATGGAGGAGGAGTGCAGGTCCCGGATGGGAGGGTCTCTCATCGCGGCTCTACGGTACCTCTTCCCACCCTGGCAGAGTTCTTGCCGACTAGTGTAGGCAGTGGGCTTTTCCGGTTTTCTGCTGGGGGTCCACCCTTGCACAATTCGTCGTATGCAGAGGCGGTGGGGGTGAGTACGACCCCCTCTCCCTTGGTTCTGGTGATGGGAACAAGGAGGCCCGACAGGGCAAGACAAACACTGTGTTGCCTCGCCGTGACCTTACTTGTTTAAAAAATAGACAAAAACCCCCATCTTTGGTTAACGTTAGTACAGTTGAGGAAAATATTGTAAGTATCTTAAACAGATTTAAAGACGCTTCAAAACCTTTCGATCTAACCAAACTTAGCAAAAACGACATGCAAAATATCATAAAAGAGGTAGTATCCTCCCTCTCCGGAAGTTTAGTAAAAAGGTTATCGTAAGTCGTGTACGCTGAAATGACGTCCTTGGGCTCCATTACTGTGGTCCAGTGGAACTGTCGCTCCTTGGTTCGTAACCTGGATGCTGCTAGACTTCTGCTCCAAGATACTCGAGCTGAAGTGGCGGCCTTCTGTGAAACCTATCTGGATGACAAATCTATAGTGACGTTTGCAAATCACGAGGTCATTTCTCGTGATCGCAATAGACAGGGAGGTGGTGTTGCAATCGTTGTTGCTAAACACATAAAATTCCGTCTGTTAGACGTTCCCGATCTCTATAATGTCTGCCGTCAGAACTCAGTGGAGGTTGTAGCTCTTCAACTTCTTTTCCCTAAAGGAAAGCATCTGTATGTTTTCTCTGTGTATAGCCCTCCTCGTTGTAGTAGTGGCTACACAGATCCGGACTTTTGGTCCCTTTTCTTCCGGACCTGTTCCAGGTTTCAACCTGTGGTGATCTGTGGTGACTTCAACGGTAAGAGCCCTTTGTGGGGTGGTTCCTCCACTACTGTTAATATTGAAGGGAGAAAAATCGAGAGAGCAGTAACCAGTCTCTCTCTCTCTGTTCTGAATGATGGAAGTTATACCTGGTGTTCGCCAGATCTGTCTAGTCGTTCCTCTTTTGATTTAACTATAGTCTCCCAAGATCTTGCCGCTCAGTGCTTCTGGGAGGTGTGCGAGTTCCATTATGGTAGCGACCACTTCCCTGTAATCTCCAAAGTACGCTGTCGTTTTTCTGGTCGAACAGCCTGTCGTCCGTATTACTCGGTGGGTAGGGTCAACTGGGAACTCTTTAGATCACTATGTGTGTCTCAGGTCCCGTACCTTCCAAGCTTAGATGTTACTGATAAGAAAGATGTTAGTACTGTTTACTCTAGTCTTGCAAAACTCATAGAAGATGCGTTGTTACAGGCGGGGGCCGCGAAGGTCTGTAAACAAGGTACCTCTAGGAAACCTCCTTCCCCCTGGTGGGATGCTTCGTGTGCTGAGGAACACAAAAGGAAAAAGGAAGCTTGCAAACAATTTCTTGCTCATCCTAACAAGGAAAACTTCGACAATTACAACAGGATCTCAAAGGAGACCTACAGGTTCTTCAGGAAAAAGAAAAGAGTTGCCTTCCGAAAGTTTTGTGAATCCCTCCATGCTAACTCGGATGTAGGCTCGGTTTGGAACACTGTCAGGGCCTTCTCTGGTGCTCGTAGTAAGTCTAGATATGCAGGGAATAGAAACTGCCTTGACCAGGATGGGTTGTGTCAAGCGATGGAAAAGATTGCCCCGTTAAACCCTGGTGCTGCCCCTGGAGGTGAGGAGATACTTCAGGAGATAGGGTGTTTGGACACAGCGGTGGATGGGTCGTTCATGGAGAACCCAATAACCCAGGACGAGTACGCATCTGCGGTAAAGTCCCTAAAGGTGCGTTCGGCCCCGGGCCCGGATTTGATAACTAATCTCGTCATTACCCAGTTTCCTCCTGAGTTACATCGGTACGTTCTGGATTTGTATAACTGGGTGTACTCACAGAAGGTGTATCCAGAACAGTGGAAACAGTACTTTGTAGTACTGATCCCGAAACCCGGTCGTAGTGGGTCGTACAGACCTATCTCGTTAGCCAATAACTTGTTAAAGATACTTGAAAAAATAGTGTGCAGAAGACTCGAGTGGTGGGCAGAAGACTCGAGTGGTGGGCAGAAAACAGTAAAGCCTTCTCACCCCATCAGTTTGGGTTCAGACGGGGTATGTCCTGTACAGATAACCTCTCTGTGCTCGTTTCCAAAGTTAAGCTTGCTAATAACACCCGCAGAATCACCGGCGCGGTTTTTTTAGATGTTGAGGGCGCATTTGACAATGTGGTCCCTGAGATCCTTTTGTCAATGCTGCCGAAGTTCGGGGTGACCCCCAGTGCTGTAGCTTTTGTTGCGTCAGTGGTCAGTTTTAGGGATCTGATGGTGTATGCTTCGGGTGTTTTTATTCAGCGTAGAACTACCACTCGAGGACTTCCACAGGGCTCTGTGTTGAGCCCTTTGTTGTTTAACCTGTATATGTCTCGCGTTGAGTCAAGTCTACCACCTGGGGTTGAATCACTCATATATGCGGACGATCTGGTAGTTTATAGCACGGGACAGTCTGTTACTGAGGTCTCCTGCCAACTGAATGTGGCCTTGTCTAGTGTCCACAGACACCTGTTATCTCTGGGCCTGAGTGTTTCGCCTAGCAAATCTGTAGCTACATTCTATTCCTTAAATTCTCTAAGGAATACTAAGTGGCTAGTCAAAAAACATAATATAAAAATACAAATCGGACAATCACCTGTGAAGGTGGAGTGGAATGTAAAGTTTTTGGGTGTTTATATCGACTATAAACTAAGTTGGAAAAAACATGTTGCTGTGACCCGTGATAAGGTTCTTCCTAGGGTAAACATCCTAAAAGCAATTGCAGGAATAAAGTGGGGTGCGCACCCTTTAGTGTTGATGACGGCGTATAGGGGACTGGTAAGGTCGGTCCTTGAGTGGGGCTGTCAGGTCACCTTCCCTCTCGGTGAACAGGAGATGCAGGTGCTGGATAGGTTACAGTATGCATGTATTAGAGTCGCGTGTGGCCTTATGCGAACTACCCCGACCAATGTGTTGTTAGACTTAGTGTGTGAACAACCCCTGGTGTATAGACACAGGTACCTACTTAGCAAGTATGTTTGCAGGGTCTTGGCGAGGACCAACCACCCGGTGGGACGGTTGATCGAGGAGAATTGTGCGAACTGGTCTCCAATCTGCGAGGGCGTCCGATTTGGTCTCATGGAAATTGGCAAGGAGTTAGCGCCAGTCACTAGGAATGTTGTCAGGTATACGTTGCCGGGTAGCTTGGCCCTCCCTTTTGGGGTGGGTTATAGAAGGTGCTGTGTGGATACTGAGGTAGGGTATCGGATCCGTGGATCTGAGGATCCCCAGAGTGTGTTCTCAGACTATCTGTCGGAGACTGGTGCTACTCGAGTGTTTTTTACAGACGGTTCTCTGGTCCGCCCGAATGACGGTGCTTCTCCGGCAGCTGTGGGGTTTGCTGTTGTGTCTGAAAACCCGGTGTTGGTCCACCAAGAACGGATTGGCGCTTCATCTACCATTTTTGACGCGGAGGCGATGGGAGTGCTGTGTGCATTGGAGTATGCAGATGATTTTGGTTTTCCGTCAGTAGTGGTAGCCTCGGACTCACTATCTGTGTTACGTTGCCTGGAGTCATCGGACCCGAAAGGGGGTCATTCCTCAGTTGTGTACAAAATAAAGGAGGTAGATGTGAAGTTAGAAAGAAAGGGAGTCAGAGTTAAGTTTGTCTGGATACCCGGTCATGTAGGCGTTCACGGCAACGAGCTTGCTGACTCTCATGCAAAACAAGCCTTGTCTCTACCTGAACCGGCTGAAAAACAGAAGGTCTCTTCCCTCTTCCCCTCTATCAAGTCGACTATCTTACAGCAGTCTAGAGAGCATCTCCTTAGTTTGTCACGCTATAAGGGTGGTCGTTATTTTAAGTATGTACCGGAACCGCTGGGCAAACCTTGGTATTCTAAGACTAAGAAAGGGAAGTTCCTCCCTAGACAGTTAGTCACTCTGGTGTCTAGAATTCGTACACACCACACAGCAGTGAACAGCCACCTGTTTGAGAAAAATATAGTTGATAGTGCGAGCTGCCAGTGCGGCCAACCGGAACAGAGTGTTAATCATGTTTTCTTCCATTGTCCATGTAATAAAGAAAATACGGACAAGTTGCTAATCGATTTGTATCACAATGGGTTTAGCCCTTCGTGTAGCGTAGAAAAGGTAGCCTTTTCTGATAACTTTAGCGCCATGTTTGCTTTGTTAAAATTTGTCAATACAGCCAACATAAGTATATAACCGTCCTAGTAGATCGTTATCTCCTTTGTAAACAAGCTTTTACCCTTTCCTTTCCTTTNCCCTCCTACTCCTTTTACGTTTACCTGTCCTGCTTGTTCCCCTATTGTTACTAGATCCTGAGTCTCAGTACACAGCGCAGCAGGCAGCCTGGTGTCGTATCCAAGCTAACCTGTGCGCTTAAAGCAAAGACTGGCCGGTGCCTAAACAGTTAAAGGGGCACGGAGCCATAAGTGCGAAGAAGAAGAAGAAGAAGGAGCTTCAGGTGACAGATACGATTCCAGCTCCTTCAATTTTCTCTTTCTCTTTCTTTCATCCATTATAACGCTCTTGCAAGTGATAACTGATTTACATATAACGCAACACGATAATCCGCGTAACGTAGTCTTTTTTGGTTGCTGGTCACGTTTATTGACGACATCGCGTGTGCGATAACAAGATTGTCACACACGCCTGATTTGTTTTGGTTCCTTCGTGCAATTGAAGAAATGCGCGAATAATGGACGTTGACGAGAATTACGATAGCGAGCAGAGTGACTACAGCGAGCATCAAATAATAGGTAAGTGTGTGCTTTCTGTAAAATTTAGGAATTTTAAAGAGCGCTACACAGAAGTATAGTTTATATAATTAGAGAAAGAGAGAGAGAAAGAGAAAAAAATTATATAAATGAAAGTAAAGATTGGATGTAGAGACATGTAATGTATACATAGATCTGTTTTTTTTGTAGTTGCACTGTTGCATTCCTCTGTCTTTCCTTCTTTCAAACGCTTGATCATACATACCTACACATGTTTTACATTTGATTCCAGAAAATGTAACATAGTGCAGCTATGAAGAGAGCAGATCCTTATACATAATTTCAAGTAAACATTAAAGAAAATAAGGATCTGTTGTGGCAATAAAGTTTTACTTATAGTAATCCTCTTGTCACACACATGTAATTTTTGAATCACTAGATCTCTTTTGTATGTGTGATACATGTAAATAAAATAAAAAATGATATTGATGCAATTCTGTGTAAGACTGTCAAAGTGTTTAATGTTGAAGTTAAACTGCTTTGCAGAGGCTCCACATAATGACTCTGAAAATGAAGACATGAGCACAGATGAACCAGGTAATAGATTTATTAATATGTACATTCTTATGCAGTTTTTTTTATAAAGGACTATGCTTAGTTGGCCCACGAGTGAATTGTCATGAGTCATATATTAATCAATGGGGGGTATTCACAAAGTATGAAACAAGTTTTAATTGCCAAATTGAAGTCTGGTAAATGTGGAGTCCTTATCCTTCTTCAGGTTCTTCTTCCTCATTGGAGCTATCTAATATTATAAAAATTAAAAACATTATTGGCTGCTTTTGCTAGCACATGAATATTTTCGACAAGGTATTGGACATATCCCAGATATCATATGATTGTCATTACATGCACACAATATTCAACTGCACGACATTTTTGCAAGAGCAGTATTCTATAATGGCTTGAGCTCCTTCACTATCATGTTCTGTCAAAATGTACACATAGTAGTGGTATGATTCAATTAGACATATTTCAATGTCTTTGGTACAATTTGTTACTGCTGTCATCATGGGGAGATGTTCTGGATGCAAGGAAATTGGACAAAACCAGTGGTCATACATGGTCATAATAGCGAACTTTAGACAGCCTAGCATTCAGAGAACTTATTTTACAAGGTTGTGCCTGTGGAACTTTTGAATCCTTTCTTGATGCCCTACAAATCTAGCCACGTTTCAATGCTGTTCATTAATGATCCAATTTACATAAGAAACTGGGCATAATCCTTTTGTTCACACACAATGTAAATATATAACAATGTGAATATACAATAAACGTATTATGTTTTTAGATGCATCACGCTTGGATGAAGTTCCAAGTCCTACGGAAAATACATTTGATGTGACATTACCAGCAACACATTCTGTAAGTGCATTTTATGTAAATTTATTCTCTTCATTCTTAGGTCAAAAAGAGGACTTGGTTTACAATCATCATTTAAGCTTTCTCATCCATTTACTTTGATCATTCATACTCCCTATCTTAAACTAAACTATTTCTAATAATACTTGAATTTGCACTAATTTACATAATACTCTGATACATATTTACAATTTTACATTTTTTTTACAATTTTACATTTTACATATTTATACATTAATATATGTTCTTATCCTATTTGTACATTATATGGTTATTCTTTTACTCATTCACACTGTTTTTACTTTATGATACTTTCCCGTTGACTAAAATCTATTTGTATCATGTTATTTCTCGAGTTTATTCTTTTTTCTTTTTCTTTCCATAGCCTATCTAGTACCATACCTTTTTCCTTCTCTAATGTATCATTCTATATTCTTTTCATTTTTTTTGTTTGTATCTTTACTTAGACCTATGAACCATTCTTTCACTATTTCACATTCACATACGTAATGCTTAAATTCTGCTTTCATATTCTGTCTTCAATTCATATTCTGTTTCACAGAATATGCATCTTCTCTTATCCTCCTCAATCCAGTATTTGTTATTTTCCTCCATATTTCTACATCCGATTCTCAATAAGATTCTTACTCGATCTTCTTAAGTGCATTTTAATGGTTGAAAAACAATATGTAGCTATTTGAAGTATTTGCAAGAATTAACTGAATGTATTATAGTATTTAGGACAAAACTTAGAAGAATTAAGAGGAAGGACTATACTGGATGATGGCATTTATATGAATCTACCATTATTAGTAAAAACATCTGTATTGTTTCCTGGGCAAACATTACCAATGAGAGTCTTTGGTGGACAAACTATAGATATGCTACAAAATTGTATACGAAATGATCGTACTTTTGGTGTTGTGTGCTACGGCTATTACTCGCGATATGTCACCGAATTGGAGCGAGTAGGAATAGTAGGAATAGGAACGACAGCTGAGATCTATGAATACACAGACGGAGATGTAGTGGATCACGGTCGACGAGAATTTCGCTTGAAAGCTAAGGGCAGACAGCGATTTAAGATATTACGTGTTCTTACGCAGGTTTGACTTTGTTAAGAGTTTTTTACACTTAATGCGCTTTTAATTTCGATTTTTTACACTAAGTATTGTATATGTGTTTACAGTAATTTTATTTATTGTATATGTTCAGGATCCCGATAAAATTTCTGCCAATGTCAAGGTGTTACCAGAGATAACATTAGGACCACCATTTTTGGACCAACGTTTAGCTTCGTTAAATCATTTGAGAGTTTTCATCAACTCAAAGACAGATATGAAAAAACAAGAGAGAGTAGAAAACTTGGATGCTGCAGTAACTGTTTGGCCAGGTTGGGTCTACAGACAGTATGATCCTGTGAGATTGTCTTTTAAAATACGTCAACATTTGCAATTTCTTGAGACTAGTAAGTTTAATTAATATAAACGTTTTAACTGAGAAAATAATTTAAAAAATCTGTCAGAGCCAACACCGGTGCTGTTGCATTTTTTTATTTTGAATTAGTGGATCCACATTGCAATGTATATCTTTCTCTTATTTTTATATTATATCCTGCTTATAGGAGGTGGCAGTGTACCTACAGATCCTGTTGATTTGTCTTTCTGGGTTGCAAAAAATATTCTAATGGATCATGATGAAAGACTTATGTTATTAAGTTACGATTGTGCTATTTCTCGATTACAAAGAGAACTAAAATATCTTGTGGAGGTAGACCATTAAAATATACGTATTTGCAAGCACTTTATGAGATAAATTTCAAAATATATTTTTTGGATATATTATGTCTTTCACACATCAATTTTATGTTTGTTTTCTTTTTAGGATAAGATCTACGTGTGTGTTAATTGCGAGTCTCTTATTGGAAGACAATCGCATATGTTCCCAATGAATAAAGAAGGACCGCAAGGTACTTACGTTAATCCTGGCGGTGTTATACACGAAACCATAACTTTTTATCATGTTCAAGGAGTTATACTCAATAGCTCACCTCCTTCAACTGACTTCAGTTGGTTTCCAGGGTAAATTAATTGCTTTGTACAAAGCATAACAAATTGTTCTTACCAATTCTTACAATTAGTTCATAGACATTCTTTTTTTTGAATCTAACAATTATATACACATAATTTTAGATATGCTTGGACAATTGCCATTTGTAAATGCTGTCGCGAACATGTCGGTTGGAAGTTTACAGCAACAGAAAGTGATTTAAGACCCAAGGAATTTTGGGGCTTGACACGCAGAAGTTTAAAAACCAATTCTTTAACAAAATCTAAGAAAACTTAAGAAAGATTATAATTTTATATTTTTGGCATTAGAGAAATATCTCAACAGTCAAATGAACATTTTCCAAACAAACCAGAAACACTTTATATATAAATTTTATTTTATACTTATGTGTGTGTGTGTATATGTAATATAATTAATAAGCAACTAAAGCTAAAGAAAGTAATAATATTCAAAGCAATAGCTATTGCAAATGTTACACATTTTATCAAAAAAGTGAAAATATTTTTTTCCTATATATTTAAATATTGGTTGTACCTTCCTCGATATTTAATCTAATTATACGTGTATATA